CTCTCTCTCTCTCTCTCACACACACACACACCTCCATCTCCCTCTCTTCTGCATTCTCCATCAGCTTTTTAAGTCAAATAAGGATGCAAAGTTCTTCTGGACATATCTCCTCTCTTCAGTGATGTCACTACAAAATGTTGGCTCAGGTTTTCTATCAGCAGGACTCCGAGTCATCAATGAGATGTGACTGATGTGCTGTCCATTGTGAAGATCCATTTTCACGCCTTTCCTTTCAGCTCAGCTCCAGTCTGAGGGCTTGGAGCCATGAGATGGCTCATTTAAGATCTGCACGCCTTAAAAACAGTATGGCAGCTCCAGCCCCCAAATCAGACGACATTAGGGCTTTCTTTTTTCCAATTTTTATTGTAATAGCAATAAGACAATGACTGCCTGTTTATGGTTGAATAACCGCATGTAGTTTATTTCAAGTAGGGGTGGATGTGGAGGCAGGGCCACATCTAATTGGATGATTTTACACAGTGATGGTGAGATTTCGTGTCAATCGAAATGTTGCTCCTGAATGCTTGAAGCTTGGTTGCTCGGCTTTCCATTGCCATAATAAGCATTTTTATAAAGAGAAAGGTTCATGTTGGCTCAGGCATTGGGATGGTCCAGGTCATTATAACTGATCACATGATGTGTTGGGCTTGTGATAAAGCAGCATGCTATGGTAGCTATACCAGTTACCCTTCAAGTTGGGACCAAAAAAAAAAAAAAAAAAAAAAAAAAAAAACTCACAGAAGCAAGTTAAGGAAGGAAGGTGGCTTTGGGCTGTGTTTTGAGGGCAAGGACCACCAGGGCTGCAGAAGCACAAAGCAGCTGGTCACATTGCAGTCTGGAAATAGAGAGAGAGGAACACTGGTACCCTAGTCATTTTGTCTTTTTTTATTTCAACCCATAGAACGGTACCACACTCTTCACACTCACACAGCCTCCTACTCCCAACAGCATGAAAGTGCCTCCAGTTACTTTTATTATGCATGGCCCATTCATAAGTCATAGTTCACATTTACACATTCTTAAAAGGGTTTGTTACCTGAAAGAACTGAAATCAGAGACTCAGACAAGTGTACACCTACATTCACAGAGCTGCTCAAACGCCCATGTATTAGTTACTGTTCTATTACTGTGTTAACACAGCACAGCCCAGGCAACTTATCAAAAGAAGAGTTTATTTTGTCTTGTGGTACCTGAGGGTTAGAGTCCCTGATGGTGGGATGAAGGCATGGCCTCAGGGCAGGAAGCTGAGGGACCACATCTGGAACCACGGGCACTGTGCAGAGAGAGTGAACTGGGAATGGGCAGAAAGAGTGAATTAGGGATGGCACAAAGTTTTCAAGCCTCAAACCTCACCTCCAGTACCACACTTCCTCCAGCAAGGCCAAACTTCCCAAACCTACCCAAACAGTGCCACCATCTAGGAGGCAAGTGTTCAAACATCTGAGTCTATGGGGCACATTCTACTCCCTGGCCCCCATAGGTTCCTGGCTATATCATAATGAAAAGGCATTTGGTCCAACTTCAAACGTTCCCGTAGTCTTTCAGTCTTAACAGTGTTTGAAAATCCAAAGTCCAAAGTCTCTTCTGAGACTTGGGTAACCCCCTCATTGTAAGCCCTGGTAAAATCAAAAGGTAAATTACACACTGACATCTAAGACAGTAGTCCATCATGGCAGTGGGAGCATCGAGCAGCAGGTCACATTTAATCCACAATCAGGTACAGAGAGCGTTGAATGACTGTGCTCAGCTCTTCATTCCCTCCACTGTTTACAGTCCAGGAATCTCCCTGAGGGAATGGACCTACTCAGAGTTAAAAGGAGTATTCCCATATCCACTAACTTAATCAAAATAATCCCTTACAACCCGGACTCAGAAAGACAAACATGGTATGTACCCACTCATAAGTGGATACTAGATGCAAAGCAAAGGATAACCAGACTGCAACCCACAACACCAGGGAGGCTAGCGAGTAAAGAGGACACAGGGATTTCCCAGCGATGGAGAAATGGATGAGATCTACATGAGCAAACTGGGGGTGAGGGAGGGTAATGGAGGGCAAGGGTCAGGGAAAAGAGAGCTTAGGGGAATGGGAGGTCATAGCTGGATCAGGAACAGAGTGGGAGAACAAGGAAAGAGATACCATGATAAATAAAGACACCATGGGAATAGGAAGAATCAGAGTGCTAGAGAGGTCCCCAGGAATCCACAAAGATGACTCCACTATAGACTACTGGCAATGGTTGAGAGAGTGCCTGAGCTGACCT